ATTCCTCAGAAAGAAAGCTGGATTAATTTTTTATCATTTCACGATCTTTATATAATTCTATATAATTCTATTGATTTATATACTTATGCCATATAATTTTAAATATATTTATATAATTTTATAAAATTTTCCTAACTGCTTATCGACGAACGCTAAACAGCGAACTTTATTTATGCAGCCTTTTATTTCATTTGTTACACTTTTATTGTATTTATCTCATTTTATAAATTTCCATTTTAAACTTTGATCTTTGGTAAGAAAACCTCCATAGCCCCAGAAAAATATAAATTACAAATAATGCTAACCTGGTGCGGCGGATCACAAAGCATCATGAGATTCCTCTCGTCTATGAAATTGGTAATCCCGATGGCTACTCTTTTAATGTTGGATAGGTAGGCCTCAAACACCTCTTCCGGCAGAGCCTGCAACTCAATTGTTGGCACGCCATCTGTCACGAAAATTAAAAGATTTTCGGCTTGGGGACGGTCTGCCGGACTGCCGAAAACTTCGGTCCTCATGACGCGAAGGGCTGCCGCCATGTTTGTGAAACCGCCGAGGTAGGTCAGTTTGGAGATGGCCTCTAGGAGGGTGCTCATCGTTTTGAAGCTGTTGATTGGTTGGTTGGTAAGTTGTTTGATTGGTTAGGTGATTGGTTGATTGAATGGCTGGTTGGTTAGGTGATTGGTTGATTGAATGGTTGGTTGGTTAGATGATTGGTTGATTGAATGGTTGGTTAAGTGATTGGTTGGTTGAATGGTTGGTTTTGTAGGTTGAATGACTGTAAAAATCAATAAAAAATCAAAGATAATGAATAATTAGCTCTGTTTAAAAAATTATTAAAAACAAATTTTCGTCAAAGTTTTAATCCACTCTAACTTAACCTCCCTACTTCAAGTCTAGTTAACCCCATCTAATCCTCCATACTCCTGGCTCACCCCATCTAATTCTTCATAACCCCGGTCCACCCAAACCTACCCATCGAGATTCCACATAAGGGAGGCGGTGGTGCCGAACTTGATGACAGCTACCTGGACGTCGTTCGGACCTATGGTCAAATCTTTCAGAATGTTCGCCATGGCTTGAAGCACGTAGGTCCAACTGTCGCAACCGACTATCGTCTGGCCGTCGTCTGCGTAGTGAATGTTTGCATCGTCTAGACAGACGCTGGAGGACTCGTCTATGATGAAGGCGATGTCTAGCGGTCTATTGCAACCTGGTGATGATAACGATGATGATGACGTTGATGATGATGGTGGTGGTGATGGTGGTGACGATGATGATGATAATGATGGTGGTGGTGATGGTAGTGACGGTGATGATGATAATTTTCTTTTCTTTCATCACAATCACCATGATCATCATCACAATCATCACAACCATCACCATCATCGTAATCATCATCCTCATCATCATCATCTCCACGAACCTAGGCAATGTTCATTATCGCAAAAGCTGTCTTTCTGACAAGCGTATTGAACGCTGGCGATGTTTCCACTGTTGTCACATTGGTGTTTCTTGGTGCAGTTGTGTGAGAGCCACACTTCGCCCAACTAGAATGTGGCGACGATGATGATGACGACGACGATGATGATTTAAAGATTGAAATGTTAGAGAGAGAGAGAGAGAGAGAGAGAGAGAGAGAGAGAGAAAGAGAAAAAGAAAGAGAGAAAGAATTTTAAATGATTCAGGATAAACAAGATCACAAACAAACAAACTACCGACAATAACCAACCGAATGTTCTCTACCAAACTCGTCCATACAACCGCATTTCTTGACATCAATACATCTCTGATTAAACAGGACTTTGTTGGCCGAACAGGTACAGGAGTCGGCCACGTCGGGCAGCAGACAGGTTCTCGCAGCGTCCGGGTTCGAACACGTGGGCAGGCAGGCCACACCGCGCACTACCGATAGCATATTTTCTGGACATTGGCTATCTGCTAGTGGTGTGGTGGTAATTTTAAAGATGAAATGATAATAATAATGATAATAATATTGATGATGATTTTTTATGTTTTTTGTTCTTAGAAGCTTTTAATTTGTCTATCAAGCTTTTTTTTTATAAAAGCTTTTTATAAAAGAGAAATTAACTCAATTAATCAACTAACTCATTCAATTAACTCATTCATCCTTCAATCCACCACACCATTCCATCATTTCATCTTTTCATTTATCAATTCATCCACCCATTCATCCGTCAATTAATCATCCAATCAATCTATTCGTCAATCCGTCCAATCCCACCACTCGCCACAAGAAAGTTGAGTCCTCCAGTTGATGAAGACGTCCCTATCCTGGCAGACGCGGTCGAACTCGGCGTAGGCCTGGCATTCGATCCCTGACATCGGCTGACACAAATCCAGGATATCCTCCTCGCACTGCTCACGGTACTGAAGGGCCAAGGCGGGAAATTTTTTGGCACAGGGACCAAAAACGCCGCTAGGATCGTTTATCACACTGCATTCCGTAACTCGTTTGGGACAGGTTTTTGGGACGGTTGTTTGGGAGCAGGATCTACGGGCGGTGGGTGTTGTTGTTGTCGGTGTAATTTGTGATGACGTCATTGTCGATTGTGATGTCATTAATTGCGGTTGCGTTCATGAGGGTGGTGCTAAAATGATGACGATAGCAACGCTTGTGATGAATGTTGAATGCTAATGAACTAATGAAGATGAAGACGACGACGATGAATCCCCGCAACAACCCCTCACTCACCCATCAGCAGGTAATTCTTCACTGGCAACATAACTGTACCCAATCAGAGTCCCAAAAACTTTGTTCAAATCCCGAACGACAACCTCCCCAGAGGAAGTTCTCAAATCGTTGCTGGCATCACCATCGTAGTTACCGCAGTAACCTTTGACCTTATTTTTAAAAGTGGGATTGACAAGGATTTTAACGTGGTATAGCTTGGATAGACTCGCCACGAATCCAGAGTTAGTGCTTAATTCTAGACTGTCGCCGTTGTAGTGGACTGAGAAGTTTGAAGTTTTGAATGGCGGACTGCGTTCTATACCGTCAACCTTTGAAAGGAGTGAGAAAAAATAATTTTAAAATGATAAATTTTTTTTATAAATTATGAAAAATAATTTGTATTTATGTATGCATATTTTCCTTTAAATTGGGAAAATAGGTACTACACGTATGCTTCGAATTTGAAAAAATTCGCGTTGTATTCCTTCGATTTGAGAATAAACGAGGTTTGATAGTTTTCGATTTTGAGAAAATCTTTATTAAATTTAATAAAGTGACTAGTATGTTTTCTTAAATTTGAAAGGATAAATGATTAATACACGATTAACTCGTCAAAATCTTTGCAAACACTGAATAAATTTTTAAAAATTTGAAAAAAAATTTTTTTTGTTTCCAAACCAACCCATAAATTAACAAGACTCCCAACAGCCTGCAGCCTTCTTTCCAACTTAACCACCAAGCCATTCACGGAAACTTCTAAACTTTTGGGATACACGATATTCCCATTGGGATAGGGACAATAATTCTTTAGGTGCACAGTTAAGTTCAATGTTGACGATTCGTATGAGAATAGAAGGTACTTACAGAGACCCTTGTACTCCATTTTGAGGCCGTCAAACGTTTCGGCCCTCCCGTCACCAATTACGGAACATTTTACTAATTTAGTTGCCGCTGGGAAGGGGTAATGAAAAGTGCAAATTAAAAACCGACATTCGTGAAGATGGTGATGAAAAAATTGATGAAATTTATAATCTCATACATAATAAACATACATTCACACACACACACACACACACACGTAATAAACATACATTCACACACACACGTAATAAACATACATTCACACACACACGTAATAAACATACATTCACACACACACGTAATAAACATACATTCACACACAAACACACACAAACAAAAAAACAAACACACACATACCGCAAAGATTAAAACTATTTTCAAGGGCTTCTTTGGTGGAGGAAATTTCAGCAATGCTTGGTGCCAAGAAAAAGTTCCTCGTCGACTAAATTGATGAAATTATTATTAATAATAATAAAAAAAATATTATTATTATTATATTATCATTATCGTCATCGTCATTATCAAAATAACCGACCGATCTGGAGACCAAGTTAGCGACGCTGTCCAATGGTATAAGCCTATTTGTCATTACTACGAAATACTTGGAACCGTCGAATAGAACCGAACTTAACTCGATATCGATACCGAAATCGTTTGCCACCCACGAGTTTAGTACGAAGAGAATGTAGTTTGTAGCGTTCATTCGGTCGAATGTTTTTCTGGCGAGTATATTCGATTTTATGAATTGTAGGGCCGATTCGATGTTTGCCGGGCCTGGATCAGACGATATTTTTGTGGCGAATAGCGAGTCGAATACTGATGTTGAGTTCCTGCATTTGTTAATGTTAGTGTGTGTGTGATTGTGTGTGTGTTTTTATGTGCGTGTGTGTGTGTGTTTATGTGTGTATAATGAAAATGAAAATAATGATGAAAGATTTAATAAATAAGTAGTAAATAAATCGAATAGAGATAACACGCACACAAACAAAACAAACGAAAAAACAAACAAACACACAGACAAACAAACAAACAAACACACAGACAAACAAACAAACACACAGACAAACAAACAATCACACAGACAAACAAACAAACAAGCAAACAGAAAAGCACTCACAGCAGTCCGCGCCCAACGAGCGAGGCCTTCGAAGCCAGCTTAACCAACGCCACGTTATTACTGGCCGACCCGATCTGTAAGTAGGTCACGACCTGACCCACATAATCGAGGACGGCCTGCCATTGGCTGCAGGTCTGATTGGAGTAGGTCGGGTCGTCCTGGCACTGCGTGGGCGTGTTGTCGATGATGATGATGACGTCCATCATGTCGTTGCACGCTGCGTTTTGATAATGATCACGAAGACGATGATGATGATAATGATGATAACAATAATAAAAATAATAATAAAATTATAATAATAATAAAATAATAATAAAAATGGCCAACCATTATTACAGTTGGTTCCGGAGAATCCTGGCTTACACTTGCACACGTAATCCCCTTCTGACGATACGTCCAAGCACGTTCCGTCGTTTAAACACGGATTTGAAAAACAAGCTGCATGTAAGCGTGTATGTATGTATGTATGTATGTATATATGTATGTATGTATGTATGTATGTATGTATGTATGTATGTATATATGTATGTATGTATGTATGTATGTAAGTATGTAAGTATGTATGTATGTATGTATGTAAGTATGTAAGTATGTATGTATGTATGTATGTATGTATGTATGTATGTATGTATGTATGTATGTATGTATGTATGTATGTATGTATGTATGTATGTAAGTATGTAAGTATGTATGTATGTATGTATGTATGTATGTATGTATGTATGTATGTATGTATGTATGTATGTATGTATGTATGTATGTATGTATGTATGTATGTATGTATGTATGTAAGTATGTATGTATGTATGTATGTATGTATGTATGTATGTATGTATGTATGTATGTATGTATGTATGTATGTATGTATGTATGTATGTATGTATGTATGTATGTATGTATGTATGTATGGTATCTTGAACAAATTACCTCACATTTTGCCCAGAAATTGCTTGAATACCACCTACAAGTGGCTCTGTGTGGCCCATGCCACATATGTAAGTTGATGCCCCACCACACACCTGGTGGTCCATCAACCTACAGAACGACAACAAATCGATCAAAATCCTGATGAAAAGAGCGGTCAACCGTGAACATGCAGTCAGGCTCCTCAAAGCAACAAGTAATTTAGATTTCGATAGTCTGTATAAATATTTTGTGGCGATCTTTGCTTTCAAACAGTTGTTGAACCAACTGCTATCGTCATACAAAGAGTACTACAAACCAACTCAGTCAACTATATTTTTTTATTTCATGGCGTCAAACAAAAGCCAAACCAACATGATGTTCTCTCATGTATAATGCGATGGACCATGAATATGGCACAACCCACTGAAATAAGGGTTCTTAATTAATGATTTTAAGACATTTTCGTTCAAGAGAAACTTAAAATCTTTTCTGTTAAATCAGATTGATGTAAACATTAAAATAAAACTAACATGTCATTCGAAATTAATTTTTAGTAACAAATAAGTTGATACTTGAGCGTAAGCATTATTATTCATAACATTAGATAACTTGCTCAATAATCATGAAGTTTAATGTTAACCCCAGAATCATTGTTACTAACAACTGTTTTGCTAACATAGTTGAGCCTGCTCGGTCACTAACAACTAACATCTAACATGCCTTCTATGGATTGTTTAGAGAATTGGTTATTTTATAATATAATAATATAATTTATTTTATTTATAATTATAATATATAATTTATATTATATAAAATATTAGTTGCTGAACATTTTTGTTTAAACTAAGATCATTTCTGTCTAGGTGGCCATACCAGATGAATTTTTTCTACAAATTCTATCATGGTCATTCTATCAGGGTCATTCTATCATTCGGCTTTCTTATAATTTTGAATCTTGGAAAGCAAATAAATTTTCGTATCGTATGTATTTTTGTTTGTCTGTTTATATGCGTGAAAATCTACAGACACACACACACTAAACAAATATCTAACCGGAACTCTAGACACCAACACTTAACAACACTGTGTATAAACAAACGCACAAAAAACAATTGTATAGACAGCCAGCCAGACAGACAGACAAACAACCAGACAGTCAGACAGACGGAAAAATATCTAACCAGAGCAGGTGTTGCCAGCGCAAGTTGTGTTGGAAGGGCATTTGAATGGTCCCTGTCTGATGTTGTTCTTCAGTAGGCAGGTCCCTTTTTTTGTGCACGTGTTCGTCAGCCAGGAAGAACCCAGCTGTTGTGTTTGTGTTGTGAACATTTTCGCGGTGAACAACAACAACAACAAAAGCATCTACAACAACAACATCAATTGCCACAACATCAACATCAATAGCCACAACATCAACATCAACATCAACAGCCACAACACCAACATCAACAGCTACAACAGCCACAACAACAGCAGCAACAAAATCATCTACAACAACAATAACATCAACAACCACAACATCAACAGCCAAAACAGCCACAACAACCACAACAGCAACAATAACAACAAACTTGTTGGGCAGATCCTGACGAATCCAGACAGCCACATTCCTGCTCCGTGATGCAAGTCCCATTAAAAAGGACCGTCCCAGAAGGGCAGATGCAGATATCCGTGGCCTGGTTCGGGACGATGGTGCATGTTTTGTAGTTGCATGTGGTACGACAGGCTGTCGTCATCAGGGCTCTTTCCATGCTTGGATCCGGACAGGTCGTTGCTGATTGGTTGGTTGGTTGGATGGTTATTTGAATGTTTGACTGTGATTGGTTAGTTTTTTGGTTGAATGGTTATTAAAATGGTCGACTGTGATTGGTTGGTCGGTTGAATTGTTATTAGAATGGTCGTGACTGGTTGGTTGTTAGGTTAATAGCAATCAATATGAAAAATTGTAATAAATATGCCAACAAAAATACAGGTTAACAAACAACGGTTCGAAATCAGAAAAACAAAGTAAAAATCACAAAATATATCAAACGAATACAAAATAAAAATTTCAAAAAAACGAGAAAAAATAAATACAAGAAACCACAACCACATCACTTACGGCATGAAAGAACTTCTCGCCAATCCGAGTCCACAGAAGACCCGGCTTCATAGCACGACCTACTGAAGTGTTCCAGGAAGTGACAGGCTGTGACGTCACTGCAGCTGCTGATGACATCATCGGCGCAGCTGACCGCCAGCTGACCCGCTTTTTGAATCCCTGTGGGGTTATAAAATATTTTCATTGAAATTTGCGTTAAAATTTAATCATTTCCACTTGAAATTAATTGATTGTTTTACTAAATGAAGTTCTTTTGTAAGCTAAAATTGTATTATCATCGCCATCATCATCGCCATCACCGTCATCATCATCATCATCGTCATCATTATCATCATCATAATTATTATTGGATAAATTATGAAATTATAAATAAAAAAAATACCCATTAATTTGATGCATTCCCTGAAAGGACCATTCTCGTCAATGATTGGCTCGCACTTTTGCGTTTGGGGGCTTTGACCGCAAGGGGGTGGAGTCAGGGCGTTTGCACTCGTTGGACACCTTTCGATGGGGGTGACGATGAAAAAGATGATGGTGGTGTGATGACAAAAGTTATTATCATCATCATTATGATTATTATCATCATCCCCATCATCACCGTCGTCATCATTATCACCATCATCATCACCATCATCATCACCACCACAACCACCATCATCATCATCATCCCCATCATCATCATCATCATCATCATCCCCATCATCATCATCATCATCATCATCAGCACTACCTAACAACAAAGCTAGCAACAACACTGTCATCGCCATTTCTAGCAAGAGCGCCGTTCACCATTTTGACATCATTACTTGGATTTCCGTCAAAATTTCCGCAACTTCCGGTCACTTGATTACTGAAGGCGGAGGTCACTGTGACCTTTAACCTCCACAGGGGGTTGTATGACACGGTCAGCCCGAAAGAGGTTTGAATTTCAACGTAGTCGCCATTGAAGAGGACGGCGAAGTCGAAGTTCTTGCTGAGTAGGGGCAGTTCGATGGGGGTACCATTTATCTGGAGTCACGTGATTGTTGTTGTTGATGATGATGATGATGATGATAATCAAGTTATTTATGATGATGATGATACAGTACGTACGTACGTACGAACACACACACACACACTTATACAAACAATATATTTCACACATATATACCTGCATATTCCGGTATACACACACACACATTTATATATACACATACACAAACCCACACAAACATAATTACACGTACATACGCACACAAACACACACAAACACGCAGACACGTACCGATAAATGAACCAGATAAGAATTAGAATCTAGCTTTTTCTCCAACTTAATCAAACTCCCTTTATAATTCATCTCAACAGCTTGAACGTAAGAAATGTTTCTCGTCCGGGGAAGATTTATACTATTTACATAAATAGAAAATACGGACGATGACGTTGTTGAGTTGTTCGAGAGTAGAAGATACCGACAGTTACCGCGATAATTGAGTCGGTATCCGTCAAAAGTAGTGATGTGCTGGCCCGTCGATACAACGCATGTTGCTATAGATGGAATTGTCGGTTTCGGTATCTGCGGGGCTGTGCGTGAGATTGTTTGTGTGTGTTTTTGTGTGTTTGTTTGTTTGTTTGCGTGTGTGTGTGTGTTTTTTTTCTGACAGTCAGTCAGTCAGTCAGTCAATCAATCAATCAATCAATCAATCAATCAATCAATCAATCAATCAATCAATCAATCAATCAATCAATCAATCAATCAATCAATCAATCAATCAATCAATCAATCAATCAATCAATCAATCAATCAATCAATCAATCAATCAATCAATCAATCAATCAATCAATCAGTCAATCAATCAATCAGTCAATCAATCAATCAATCAATCAATCCCAAACTGACTAGGAACGCAACTGTCCGACTGGTCGATATAACCATTGTTGCAGAGACAGAGAGATTTTAGAGAGAACTCATAACAAGTCCCATTCGGACACTTTGACGGCGTGCAACCTGATTGGTTGGTTGGTTGAGATGATTGGTTGATTGATTGATCTATTGATTGATTGGTTAACTGGTCGGTTAATCGATTGAGAAGTTATTTGATTGATTTGAACATAGTCTAAATGAGAAAAATTTTTTTACAAAAACGCATAGTTAACAATTTTAATTGAATAAACAATTTTAATTGAATAAGTAATTCTAATTGAATCAAGAAAGGAACTGGTCACTCCACCTCTACAGACGCCGTCCACACACTCCTTATCAGCTGCACAGGTCTTGGACCTCGAGGTGATGATATTGTTCCGAGTGCAACTGAACTCAAGCGAACAATCAGCCGAGAGCCAGACCTCATTGATCTAATCATGGCGGGGACGGTGGTGATGTTCATGTTGTTGTTGTTGTTGTTGATGATGATGAGGGGGAAGAAAAGAAAAAAAAAGAAGAAAAAGAAGAGAATGAGGAAGAAGAAAAATGAGGAGAATGAGAAGAAAGAGGAAGATGACAGATACATCAACAGCAACAACCAACCTTATAAACCTTCCCAGTTTCGGCGTCAACACAGCCACAATCGTCAGCCGGGATACAACTCCCATTATGAAAGACAGTCCCATACGGACACTCACAAACGTTGTTGTACGTCTGCAGCAGGCATTGTTCGTTGGGGCGGAATAGGAGCTGGCCGGGGTGTAGGGCGGTTAGGCAGGTGTCCACACAACCGGATGCCTTCCTCGAACAGGTCATTTTGGAGTTCGGACACGTACAAGCTGTTTTAATTAAAGTGTGTTGCTTGTGTCTGTGCGCGCGTGTGTTTGTGTATGTGTTTGCGGGAGAGATAGAGTGAAAGAGGAGAGAATGAAAGAATTAAAAATTTTAAGTTTGCGAATTTGTCTGTATGTTTGAGTGTAATGAGAGTAAGAGAGAGAGAGAGAGAGAGAGAGAGAGAGAGAGAGAGAGAGAGAGAAAAGCAAGGTGATGTGTGTCTGTGTTGTGTAGCAATCGAAAATGTGTGTGTGTGTGTGTGTGTGTGTGTGTGTGTGTGTGTGTGTGTGTGTGTGTGTGTGTGTGTGTGTGTAGTAATCGAAAGAAAAAACCACCTCACCGTCTCCAACCAGAGCACTCCAATCAGCCAGCAACACTCCTATATTGTTGCAGCTCGTCGCGAAGTTTCTCAACGAGACGAGAGCGGCCTCAAGGTTGCAGGTTCTTGAGAAGTCTTCCAGACAGGCGGCGCGTAATTTCTGCAAAAACGTGGGATCTAGGACGTCTAGACAGTTGACAAATATGAACGAATTGTATGAGGTTTTGTCTAGGTAGGAGCAAATAGTTTGACCGGATTTCTGGATGGTTGCCGAGCATTTTGCAGCGTCTGTAGCTATTGCTGCGGCTGCAAATTGACAGTCTTTCAATCTAGTAAATTATTATTGTTATATTTAAATAAATAATAATTATAATTCAGCATCAATCATTGATAGGAAAATATATTATAAGGGGAATAAATAGTAATAGCATTATGATAGTGGTCCAGCTAGGTAAATGCCCTTAAATTTTCCTATTTCTGTTACTTTATAAAAGCTCGGGGACTAACGGTTTCGTATCGTCATCTACAAAACTGTTTCCAATTTCAATTCCAGGATTTTTGCTGTTCGAAGCGTTGAGGCCGAATCTCGTGACGTAATCATTCGTGCTGACGTCATCGAAGTTGCCACACAAGCCACTCATTCGAGATTTGAGGGAGTGGGGAGCGAGAATTTTTATGAGCCTGATTATCGTAATCATCATCATCATCGTTATCGTTGTTAGCGATTTCATCATCGTCATCATCATCGTCGTTGTCGTCACCCTCATCATTCACCCATCCACTGACCAGTTTCGACTGAAGTCAATTCTTAGTCCATTTCCCATCTGGAATCGAACTATAGCAGAAGTGACGTAGTAAATGTCAACACTAGATCTGCTACCGCCGCTGCTGCTACTGGCGCTACCAGTGGTGGCTAGGTTGGTATGGTATGGTAGCTCTACGTTTATACCGTTAATCTGGTTACGACGATGATGATGATGTTGTTGTTGTTGATGATGATGGTAATGATGGTGGTGTTAATTATGATGATGATGATGATGATGATGATGATGAAAAGTTCTCACCTTCACCTTGATGATGACCTTATCAACGAGCAGCACAGTGGCATTAGAGTCACCAGCACCAAACACAACATCAAAACCTGCAACATAAACAACTTTAGAGTTCGCCGGGCTGGACTGGCGTCTGGCGAATACCGATACCGATTCCGATCTACCGGATATCGGATCTTTACCGGAATCGTCGAATCTACTCAGTAGAAACCGGCACTGGCCCGGGTAGTCGATGAAGGCCCCGTCAAAAGTTTGGCAGTGTGTGGCTCCGAAGCATGTGCACGCCGAAAGAACTGGGGTTATTATTATTTTTATTTTACTATTATTATTTTATTATTATTATTTTATTATTATTATTTTATTATTATTATTTTATTATTATTATTTTATTATTATTATTATTAGTAGTAGTAGTAGTAGTAGAAGTAGTAGTAGTAGTTGTAGTAGTGGTAGTAGTAGCAGTAGTAGTGGTAGTATTTTAATGGTATTTTATGATTTTTTATTATTTTTATTATTTTGTACAAAAAGTAGCAATATTAACTGATGAGAGTAATAATAATAATAGATAATAGTAATGATAATAATAATAATAATAATGATAATATAATGATAATAATAATAATAACAGTAATAATAACGATGATGGTGATAATGATGTTGATTGATTTTCGGTACACTTAACTTTCGGCGTTATGAAATCTACTTTTTATTTATTAATATCATCATGTGATAAAGTTATGAAGTATTTGTAGTAGTAGTTGTAGTAGTGATAGCAGTAGTAGTAGTAGTAGTAGTAGTAGTAGTAGTAGTAGTAATAGTAGTAGTAGTAGTAGTAGTAGTAGGAGTAGTAGTAGTAGTAGTAGTAGTAGTAGTAGTAATAGTAGTAGTAGTAGTAGTAGTAGTAGTAGTAGTAATAGTAGTAATAGTTGTAGTTGTAGTTGTTGTAGTAGTAGTAGTAATAACAGTATCAGTAGCAGTAGTAGGAGTTATTATAATTATTTTATTTTTATTATTATTATTATTATTATTAGTAGTAGTAGTAGTAATGTAGTAGTAGTAGTAGTAGTAGTAGTAGTAGTAGTAGTAGTAGTTAGTAGTAAAAGTAGTTGCTGTATTAATGTAGTAGTAGTTGTTGTAGCAGCTGCAGCAGTAGTAGTAGTAGTAGTAGCAGTAGTAGTAGCAGTAGTAGTAGTATAGCAGTTGTAGTAGTAGTAATAGTAGTAGTAGTAGTAATAGTAGTAGTAGTAGTAGTGATAGCATATAGATTCATTTCCAACTTCTGAGCCGATTTATGATACGCAATTGTCAATCAAAGTAGATACCATAACAGTGTTTTTTTTAATAGCGATTATCATCATCATCATAAATTTCAATCATCATCATAAATTTTAATCATCATCATCATCAATTTTATTTATCATCATCATAAATTTTAATCATCATCATCATCAGTTTTAATCATCATCATCAATTTTAATGGTCATAATCATCAAATTTAATCATCATCAATTTTAGCCATCATCATCATAATAATAACTACCATTTAGAGATGCACCGATTTGCGAATTCGATCGATCAGCCGAATAGTTGATCCAAATCCGACTGAAGTTCGAATGCCAAAAAACTCACAATTTTGAATGAAAAGAAGAATCGTAGAATTTGAAGCGAGCTATTGTAAGAAAGGGTCAGGCGATTTATCTCTATTGAGAAGTTCTCTTTCTGATACAAAAAGCCATCTAATCTGCATATTCAGACCTTTTCTACAGCCAAAATAATTTTTCACTAATAATAATAATCAACAGTTACTGCCCAAACTGTCGGTATTTGACTATTCGTTATT